AAGCGAAAACAATGGAGTGAGAAAGATATGAAAAACGCCAATGAATCAGTAAGAAACAAAAACATGGGTTATTTGGCCGCAGCGAAAAAATATAAAGTTCCACGCTCAACACTTTTTCGCCACTGTAGCACTGAAGGGTCTTCAGCAACTGTTAGTAAAACGAAGTTGGACAAAAAACCAATTATGTCAGCGGAGTTAGAAGAAGAACTAGTTCAATATTTACTTGTAGGGGATCAAAAGTTTTTTGGTCTGACAAGAAGGTATATTCGATCTTTAGCATTTAAACTTGCTAAGCGTAACAATATACCACATCCATTCTCCCTTTTACGCGAATCTGCGGAAAAAGATTGGTTTTCATCATTCATGAACAGGCATAGGGCTACACTAACTTTACGAAAACCCACTGGAACTTCCCGAGCAAGAGCCGTTGGTTTTAATAGGGAAAATGTCACTGAGTTTTTCGACTTTTTAGAGAAGACTATGGCAGAGCGAAATTATGGACCTCACCAAATATATAACGTAGATGAGTCGGGGTTGTCTATTATGCAATCAAAATGCCCAAAAGTGGTATCGCTTAGAGGCTAACGACAAGTTGGTGCTATTACATCAGCAGAGAGAAGCTCTTTTATAACCATCGTAATGTGTATGAGTGCGGCAGGTGATTTTAAGCTACCTATGATCATCTTTCCGCGCAAAAAAGCAAGTGACCAGTTAAAAAAGGGGGCACCTCCAGGATCGCTGTTTGCTTTTCACCCATTCGGGTGGATTCAAACAGATTTATTTACAAAATGGTTTGACCACTTCCTAGAAAAAGCCAAACCTTCAGCAGTAAAACCAATACTGCTGATATTGGACGGCCATCACACTCACACTAAAAATCTAGATGTACTTGTCAAAGCCAAAGACAATCGTGTTACTATTTTATGCTTACCACCACATACGACGCATAAACTTCAGCCCCTCGACAAGACCGTCATGGGTGCATTCAAGACCTTCTATAACGAAGAAGTGAGAATCTTCATGAGAACGGAAAAACGTGCAGTAACACGTTTTGATATTAGCCAGTTATTTGGTAGCGCCTATCTTAAAGTGCAATCAGGGGAAAGAGCTGTTAAAGGGTTTAGTGCCACTGGGATCTATCCCTTAAGAAGAAATATTTTCACATACGCGGAATTTGCGGCCGAAATGCAAAAAGAAAATCAAAATTTTCCGAACGATAATACACGTCCTGATAAAGAGCAAAATAACTCGCCTAATATTTATCCTATGTCACAGTGCCAGAACTAACAAAGAGGTCGGCAACTCAGGGAAGGAAATGTGGACGTTCCAAAATAATTACGTCGACGCCGAATAAGGAAGAATTTGAGCAATCAATTAATCTCTCAAGACAAAAAGTTACCCGAAACGTTTTCGATGAACCTGGACCTAGTGGATTACAAACCAAGAAGCGTAAAGTCACGAAAAAATATGTCCCCTCTAGTTCCTCTGATTCATAATCTAAACCAGTAGTTGATGATTCATCTGATGAAGATCTGCCATTAAGCTGCTACAATAAAAAGCCAACCGATGAAGATATCCCGTGTATTTTTTACCAAGAAAAGTTTTCCTCGAGCCAAAGTAGAGAAATATGGGTACAATGCGTAATCTGCAATGAATGGGCTCACCAAGCTTGTACCAGTGCAGAAAATGGTGTTTTTATTTGCAATTTTTGAAATTCATAGATGTACTGATGTTCTGAAGTTAAATGATTTTAGTAGAGTTTTTTACGCATAATAAGTCCATTCCATATTACCCGATATGACCATTCCATATTACCCTCCATTTTTTATTTTCGAACAAAAATGTATTTCGTTTAATTATTTTTGTAAAATTACCGAATATGACTTACTTTTTAATTTAGCGTCTGTCACTCCTTGAAGATACTTAGAACTATTTATTAATGAAATATTGCAGCTCTTAACATTTATGTTTTGATGTTATCACTATAAAAATAATTGGTATTCCATATATGCCGACTAGGGTGTTTCATTTTTGAGCAACTTTTTTTTTAACTAAAAAACAGGCTTAAAACTTTCAGGAAGGTGAAACAAGAAGCCTCTAAAAATGTGAGCTCTTAATATTATCATTTAGTGGTACCTGTTTGTAACTTTCCATTTTCTATCTAAATTTTTTCTTTTTTCTTATTTTTGTAGCTTGACATTTGAGCATTGTAAAAATAAAGTGAAACATTATTTTGGTAGGAAATTGAACGCTCTACAAAAAGTTCGAATATATATTTTTTTCATAGAGTGAGTCGTTCTAAAGATATTCAAACTTAAAGTTGCAAATGTATGAAATTAGGACTTTTATTTTATTAAACTAATACTGATGACTTTTTTATGTCTTAAAAATTATTTTTAATCAGAAAACTGGTTTTTGTGCGCTAATCTTTTTATAAAGCTAAAATAAAAAAAAATACATCTTGGATATTATTTGATTAACTGTTAAACAAAAGTAATTATGAATTAGGTTCAGTAAAATTATTATTTTATAGATTAAAAAAAACTTTTTAACAATTAGCATACTAAAATTTTGAAACTAATAGATATTTTAATGTCTTATCAGAATTGAATGATGTAACTATATTTGTTGAAGGTTTTTTTTACAATTTGGATATTTTCGTCGGTGCTCCTTTACCACTTGTAATGAATATTAAAATTGTTCCTCATCTTTAGTTAGGCATCTATTATATTCTTCTACTAATGCGACGCCACGTCCTGCAACGTCATTGACAACTTTCAATTTTTCGAAAAACTCCAAATTCTCTTGATAACTTTCATTATCTGGCCATATTAGGACATCTGCATCCAGAAAGTCGTACGGCAAATCAAATTTGTCAAAAGTTTAAATGATTGTTTTGAAACAAAGTCACTCATATTTTTGTTTAAAAATATTTCTGGTGAATTTTTGTCTTCTGTGCGTCGTTATTTTCTTTCTATATGAAAATAATGATGTTTTCTTGAAAATAATTTTTAGTTTTATTTTTTAATTTTAAGTTTAATAAAATAAAAGTCCTAATTTCATACATTTGCAACTTTAAGTTTGAATATCTTCAGAACGGCTCACTCTATGAAAAAAATATATTAGAACTTTTTGTAGAGCGGTCAATTTCCTACCAAAATAATGTTTCACTTTATTTTTACAATGCTCAAATATCAAGCTACAAAAATAAGAAAAAAGAAAAAAAAATTCCATGTTATTTAGATGGAAAATGGAAACTTAAGAACAGGCACCACTAAATCATAATATTAAGAGCTCAAATTTTTAGAGGATTCTTTTTTAACCTTCCTGAAAGTTTTTAGCCTGTTTTTTAGTTGAAAAAAAAAAGTTGCTTAAGCACCCTAGTTTACTCTATTTGTAATTATAAATCACAGGATAATCAAGCAATGTTTGTACCACACCGACGATACAACATTGTATTATTGCCAACCCAATTGGTCAGAACAGTATCATGTGACCTAAAGGAAATATATTCTAATTGTAACATGGTTAGGTTTGGTTGAAAATTGATGAGATTACTTCATCTCCAGATGGATCTATTGTGACTCATATCTAACTTATCGCTCACCGTACAAGCCATACCATTTGATGACCATGGTTTAATTGGGTGAGATCTGTTTAAAGTTGGTAGGCCCAGTCGAGAGAATCTGAAGAACTGGAACCTAGTTTTTTCCAAAGCAGTCTTACATACTGCAGATCGACAGTACGATGTTTGTTGTAGACATATCCTTCTCATGTGGTTACCTAGACGACAATATTTTGTCATCAATCCTGTTGAAATGCATAGATCTTTCCTACTCCATTTCCAGATTTAAGTAGAGGCGTTCATGGAAGGGTTAGTTTTAAATGCCTTCGAATGAGTTAGCCCTGAGGTGTCTTTCCACTTCGTGAGTATTGCACTCTCCGACCATTTTGTTACAATTCCTTTGACAGTGCTCTTTGTAATGTACAGGAATTGTTCTGTCCCTATAAACTTAGATTCGGATCCTCTTTTAACGAGCGCGTCGGTTTCTTCATTGCCCTCCACATCGCTTTGTCTCGAAACCCAGATCAAAGTAACTTTGTTCCAGATTCTAGACATTTGAGGATATTTAAATAGTTTCAAACCAGCTTCGAGTCAACTCTATCGGAGCTCAGGCCATTGAGGGTTGCCTGGGTATCAGAAAAGATTTTTATAGTCTTCTTTACGCGGAGAAAATTATTCAACATAATTTTATTAAATATTGAATATAACTTTTGAAATTAAGCATTTTTATGAGAAACGAAAATAAAAGTAAATTTAATAATGTTTATATTTTTATTTTATTTAGTACCATGAAAAAGTATTTTTATTCAACTCACATATTGAAAAACATGATGTTCATTGACTGTATATTCCGTAAATACCTCAGTGCACTAACATTAACAAAAGTGACAGATTTCTCTATGTTTAATATATTTTTTCTACGTTCATGAAAAAAAAAATTTATTGAACTATATTTAGCGAAAAAACTGGTTCTTTATTGCACCAGTGCAATACAAATTTTATTCCACTTATCTGTCATTTTACTACAGCGTTTTATGATCATGACAAACATAAATATTCAAATCGACACCAAATATTTAGTACATTTTTATTTTCTGTAATATTGTATTACGTTTTAAAAACAATTGCATATTTTATATTATTTTCAATCATTTAATAAATAAATTAATAAAAAATATATTTTCTTAACATAGTTATAGTACTTTTTCAGTGTTAATCAATGCTAATTATTAGTTATTAAATATTTTGCTATTAAATTATGCTTTTTATTCTTCTGCACTTAGTATCGCCTAAATAAAACATTTTTTGGTTTTTGCATAAACGTAGAAAAAATATTGTATACAACTCGTGCAAAAAGTGTTTATTGCACTCGACAATTTCACATCGCGTGCAATAAACACTTACTTTTTGCACCTGTTGCATAAATAACTATAATTCATTTTCGTTTCTGTATTCTTATTGGATAACCATGTTTAGACACGGTGACACCAGCGATTCCTAATACCATTTTAAAACCTTCTACAGGAAGTAATTTAAATTCATATATAATCCTAGCTATCACTGTTTTAATTTGTAATGTAGCGTATTTTTGACCTAGAAATAAAACAGATATAATTATTAAATTATCTAATTTGGATATTTTTTATTATAGGTTGTAAATAAATTAATGAATTGAAATAATAAATTTAAAAACTAAATATTACCTATACAGTTTCTTGGGCCTGCACTAAAAGGAACAAACGCAAATGGATGCCGTTTTGCCTGATTTTCGGGAGTAAATCGATCAGGATCGAATTTTTCTGGATCAGTATAGTACGAAGGATGATTCTGTAACCAATAAAGTAATAAGGAAAAGGTTGTTCCACTTGGATAAACCGTATCACCTGAAAAAAATGGAAAAACTAGAGTGAAAATGTATAATACTTAACATTCTAAACATTAAAGAATGTGCCAAACTTCAGATGTGGTTAGTTTGGACAAAAATAAGTTCATTTAAGCCAATTTGACTTTGTAGAATTTAGCTTGCTTAAGAAGTTACAGGGTGGAAAAAATTATTATTATTTTTAATATTTTTACGATAATATTTTTTGAGTAAACATACCCAAATATTATGAAAATAAGTTTTTCGGGTGGTGCAAACGAATATCAGCTTTTTTGTTGCATTACATGTACAGGGCGTTCTAAACTGGCGTGCCAATCTAGTATTTACTTCAGATTTTTTTTTAAGAATGGACAGTTTTGAAAAATGAATAATGATTTTGAAAAAGCGTTTAATTTTCTTTCAAAAAGGTATACATGTTGCAGGTCGCTAACATGCATCATTTAAAGGAAAACTTAATTTAAAGTTATTACTGCAAATGTATGGATTATTCCATAATTATCTCAATTTGATAATGTTAAATCTAGTAGGCAGTTGTCAAATGTAGTAGCACTGTCAGGATTAGTCTTACATACAAGCATCAGAGTTTTGAGTGATAAAATTTATTATTTTATACAATGCCACGACATAACTTTTTCTCAAACAGTGAAATGACCGATATGATATCAGTTTACGCCCAACAAGGTTTTAACCCTTTCAGTCACAGCTTTTTAATAATGATCGGAAAATTCTCAAACTTATTATATGGAATAATATGACTTTGCTATAAAGCTTTTATCAGTATTTTTTTTTGATATGTCAATTTTCAAATGACTTATGACGTGTCCATCCTGATGGACATTGTGACTTATTGGAGATTTATTAAAAGGGTTAAAAGGACATGAAAAACCAGCAAATAAATCAAGTTTTTATTTGAAATAAGTAAGTACATTATAAAATATATAGTAAATAATAATTAGTGCAAAAAGTTCTTGATTTCCCCTTACAATTTTCCATTTTACATCTTATACTTTCTGTATACTTCTGGTAAATGTCCGTAGTTATCGTATCTTTGTTCCGAATATGGTCGCTCTTCTGTTTTTATTCTTTTTTTGGGCTGTTTAGATATATCAATTTCATCAATCGTTGATGGTCTTCCTTTTTTTTTGGTATATCCTTGTGCAAAATTGGATGTTGAGCAATATTTAGTCTGAATTCCCATAAATTCAATATTTTATTTGTTCGAATGCCCAGTTGAAGAGCTTGTTATTTATATTTGAGACACGAATTTGCTGCCGCCATGTCCAAAGCATGTGTAATCATGCGTACTGTCCATTTTCTGGAGCGTCGATAAGACCGATATATACTCAACAGTAAATCTAATTTATCAATACCCCCCATATTTACATTGTAGAGTGTTATACATTCAGGGAGTGCTACATCTATGTAATTTTTGGATGCCTTATCCTACCTTTTGCAACTATCCAATTTCCCTTCAGCAACAAAATTTGAAGCAACTAATACGGGTTTGTTATCAAACCATTTTGTGATGAATATGCCATCAATACTAACAGCAACATCATAACTGCCTCTGTCCTTCAATTTTAGTTCCTTATCGGTAACTAGTTTTGGACCAGAAAATCTGTTGACTCGTATTGTTGCTATAGCCATTATGGAATTGCTGTTTAGATATTGAAGCAGATGTTAAGAAATAAAATAATTATCAAAATAGAAACAATGATATTTACCTTTTATTCTTTCGGCTAATTGCATAACAGTTCCAGCTCCTTGTTCAAATTGCGAATAGATATCTTTTATTTTAGTTCCTGATCCTTGGTGTATGATAAAATCATAACAGATTCCACTTTGACCCGCTAATATCCATAACTTGATCTCCTACTTCTTAGGCTTATTTGGAAGATATTGTTTCACGTTTATTTGGCCTTTAAAAGGAATTATTTGTTTATCCACGCAAACATTTGTTTCAAGTTTGAGTTCAAAGCACCGATTTCTAATTGCATTGTATATATCCCTGACTTTCCATAGGCGATCTGGATTATTTTCCCTCGCTGTGATATCTACTAAATGTATTGCATTTCGCAACTTAGAGAATCGATTAAAAGTCATATTTTCTTTTATTATTGAAATGCTAGTAGCTTGATTCCAGTACATCCTGGCCCTTGACAATTTCAGATTTTCCATGCCAATGTGAATTCCCAAAAAGTTTTTCATTTCTTCTTTGCATGTTGGAATAAATCGAACAAGTTGGTCTTTTCCGACATTTGTTCGAACAAAGAATCTGGTAAATATTTCATAAAAAACTTTATTGTAGCGGATAATTCATCAATGCGATCGGGTTCAGGAGTGAACCACGGGGCTCGTCTTGTTTAATATTGAACATCGCTTTGCCATTTTATATTTTTCTTATCAGTAAAACCATGAAGTTCATAAAAAAGTTTCTTGTTTCTTGCGGTCTCTTCGGCATCGTTATTTCCGGCTTCTTCGGGTTTTCTCTGTTCGTTATTTCCTTCTGGTTGTCTTGGCTCGATATTTTCGTTTTCTTCGAGCTTCTATTGGCTCCTTTATCATTTTCTAAGTCAGAAAAGTCGCTAATATTGCCTATATCTTCAAAATTGTCCTTGTCATCCGATAAACCCAAAATTACGGAGTCGTCATCATTCAAAAGACTTTCAAGAAGCTCTTCTGCTGTTATTTCTTTGTTCCACTTGTTGAAGGTAAATTTTCCATTTTTCATAGGTATCTGAAAAAATAATAAAGAACTTATTATAAATGACTTTGGTCACTATGTCCATTATAATGGACATAACAAATCAAAGTTCTATATCAAATTTTTACTAATTATATTATTCCAATATTTATAAAAAGTAACTAAATTATAGTTTTTACTTACCAACAGTGATCAATAGAACTTATTTTTCACAAAAGATATCGTATTTTACGTTTTTTCGTGGATGAGTTTACATGCGCGTTCAACCACTGAAAACCGAATGTCAAGAGACCGCTGCGAAATTCACCCCTCCACTACTTGAAGTCGCCACGTGCTATAAATGCGTTCCTTATGCATGTCCTGGCACACGGACAAAACTACTTAACTGAAAATTGTCGATTTCAATTTTATAGGAATTATAGAAAATCGATGTCCACTGTAATAGACGCGATGACTGAAAGGGTTAATGCACGCGCTTCAGCAATAAGTTACTCAGCTTTGTATCCTAATCGTAGACAGCCCAACCGAAAATTGTTTTCATATCTATTCAGCAGATTAAGAGAAACCGGAAGTTTTTGCTCAAAAACAATCAATGGACGACATATGGTTCGAGGTTTACAGCAGGAGGAAGAGGTATTAAATCTTGTTGAAGATGACACTTCAACAAGTATCCGTCGTATATTTGTTGGTTTATGTCAGGGTACTGTGTCTAATATTTTACATGAACAACTCCTGTCCAAAATATACTGCCAGATGATATTTTAGCGAGAACAAATTTTAGTCAGTTTGTTTCAAATAAAAATAGACAAGATCCATTTTTTGTAAATAAAATTCTGTTCATTGATGTGGCAACATTTACGAGAAGAGGAATTCTCAACTACAAAAATGCTCACACATGGGCTGTAGAAAATCCAAACAGTACGAGAGTGCGGCATTTTCAGCTTGTATTTAAATTAAACATTTTTTTTGGTATAGTCGAAGATAACCTTATATGACCTCTTGAACTAGAAATAATTACTATTGGTACTTTACAAAAGGAAGCCTCTGCTTTATTTTCTAAAATTTTTCTTACACCTTAATTCATATTTTTTTCTTGTAGTTCTTGGGTTTTTAGGTGTTTGTGAAAAATAAAACTCGTGTGTGTATGGTTAAAGCTTTTGGCACTGATCAGCGCCTTCTTCAGTAGTTTTTTTTATCATTAAATCCTTGTTTTTTTTTTAAATAAGAATGAATTTAACAACCGACAGTTTTACAAGAAATTTTATATATAGTTAACATTTTAATATGTTATTATTATGTATTTTGGCTTACCTTTAGTACAAAATTTGGGGTGTGTCATTGAAATTGTTAAAATAAGTTAAAATCCACACACGAGTTTTATTTTCTACTAACACTTAAAAACTCAAGAACTACAAGAAAAAAAAAAAGAAATAATTACTTACATTTCCTCTATTACAACTTATTTGATCTGTCAGATGATGTTCCTTTAAATATTAGAGTTGGTATGTGGTATTTACAAGATGGCTCCCCGGCCAATTATTTCATAGCAGTACGAAATCATTTAAATAACGTATTCCCCCATCGACAGAATGGACGAGGGAAGTGAACATCCATGACGTGCACGTAGTCCAGATTTGAACCCTCTGAATTTTTATTACTGGGGTTATATTAAGACTGTAGTTTATTCTGGACCTACTGTTAATACCAGAACGCTTTTTCAAAATAATTATTTATTTTTCAAAAATGTCCATTCTTAAAAAAATTTGAAGTAAATACTAGATTGGCACGCCAGTTTAGAACGACCTGTACATGTAATGCAACAAAAAAACTAACGTTCACAAAATTTGGGTATATTTACTCAAAAATATTTGATTCTCCACCCTGTAAAATTTCTTAAGCAAGCAAAATTCTACTAAGGTAAATTGGCTTAAATAAACTTATTTTTGTCCAAACTACCCACATCTGAAGTTTGGCCCATTCTTTAATAAACACCCTGTATATTATACTCTTCATAGTTTAATAGACCTACTCTTAACTGCCCATTTTTAATATTTTTTTTTCAAAATCAATAAACTTTATTCTTCTCTTATAGAGATTAATTTCAAGTTATTATTTGCAGGCACATAGTGAACAACTGGTGCAAAAAAAACAATTGTCCATCAACGCACAAAAAACAACAGTTGTACCATTCACAAAAAAACGGGTACTTACAGGACTAAGACCACTAGTACTAAACAACACAGTTATCCCATTCGTCACAGAAGCCAAATACCTCGGAGTCATATTTGACCAGAGGC